ATATCAAACATATTTTAGAAACCTGTAGTTGACCTATATCCACAGGCAGTGATGGTCTCTGTGCTTCATAAAAAGCTTCAGATGAAGAGACAAGCTGTTCCCATTATTTCAAGAAGACTCGCTTTCTAATCTGTGTTAGAAACTAGCACTGAAATGCCCTTGGCACTGATATACAGGACACCTCTTCCAAAAAATATGGATTACTAGAGCTTCCCAGATAATAACATCAACAAGACAACACATAAAAGTTTCCTCAGAAGGAGTCTTGGTTCCAGGGCCTGAGGTTCATAAAACCACAAGGGGAGGAAACACCCTCTGTTTCACAGCTTTCTTCCCTGAGCAAACATTTTGAAGGCAGTTCCTGGAGACAAACCTTGAAGGATTTCCTCAGCCAGTTTCCATTTCTTACTGGTATTCCTATAGTAGAGGCACCAACCCTTCATTTGCATCTCATCTGTGTCAGAGGGTTTCAGTCTTTCCTGTTTGTAGTTTATAAACCATCATGGCAGCAGTGCCATTAGGATAATTACAGTTTCGTTAGGACTCCCCTGCACACTACCAGGAGACGCTTTGTGTCTTAGATAATGAGGTCAGCAATTTCCAAGATTTGCAGAACAAGGACAAATTGTTTTGGCAATATGCCAAACTTACTCCCAAGACTGACCTACCACCTTCCCCTACAGGAGACCCCATCTGCTCTTCTGCACTACTGTTTATACTTTCTGCTTTAGGCTCTTCTTCCTCTGGGATGAACCACACCATGTTTTATCCTCTTCAGAAGCTCCCATACTGAAGGCCACCACAGAGGCCAATGGAAAATTCTTCCAGTTAAGATAATCACAAAAGCAAGGGTGAGGGGGAAATAGGACAAATCATAGGCCAAAATCATATCTGAGAAAGTTTTTCTAAATAAACATCAGTGGAACATACTTCTAAGCTGGTTTTACATTTTAAATAGCAACAGGAAACACAAAGTAATCTGCTGTTCACAAACGTACACACAAATGGACTCACAAACGGTCTTCCAAACCCACTTGTTGCACTGTTGTTGCCTCTGCAAGGAACAGGACATCTCAGCTCTACTGTAGCTTGTGAGATCTGACAATCCACGTTTTACTTAGCATTTAATCTCAGGTCACATTCAAGGCCAGACTAACACAGCAAATTCCTCAATTCATACCATTGCACTGAAGTTCATACTGAGGCACCGGAATTTTTAGAGCACCATGCTTTGTAGACCTAATAACTCTAAATATGACTTGACACTGTGCTTTAATTGAAGATACGGCCCTCAAAACAGACATATTACAAGTGAATTCCTGGTCCAAACAGAATTGCTACCAAAACTATCACTAAGAAATACACATCTTAAAACAGCTCTCTCACTCTCAGCAGCTCTACAGAGAGTAAGCTCCATACAAAGCATACAGAGCAGCTGGCTTAGGGACAGCATTGCAACTACCTGATGTGCTAACCAGCAAAACAAAGCACCATGCACCCTCCATGGGTGTTAAGCCATTGCCAGACGTGTATGCTTCCTATGAAACAGTAATCCAACCTATGCGGACTAACAGGGTGTTAAGCACAGGGCCTGCTGCTCCAGGCTCACTTACCACTCACAGAAGAAACAGTGCACACCAACACTTAGCACTGCATGAGATTTTGCAGCCTTTTGACACACCCTGAGCCAGATATCATCAGCTTGGCTAAGGCTTGTACTGTATCTGTACACAAGTGTTTCTCTCACTGTTGCTATAGCTGTACGTTATGAAACTCCTTAGATACGCAATACATCAGTTTTTGGCACAGCTCTCTTGAGCAGGTGTGTTGTGCAATGCATTCTTCAGAGCTAGCAGGGATTAAACAGCATTTTGTGGGTCCCAGGAGATGCAGTTTATATTGCTCTGAGCACCATAAGGCCAAGTTTCCTCTATTCAGCAGAGCCAAAGGCTGCTGCAAATTCAGATACGCAAAGACAGAAGGAGAAAAACACTGTGACTGAAGTTTAGTACAAGTCCGGCACAGATGAATTTTTACATTTCTAACTTGCAACAATTTAAGATAAAGCTTTCTATACAAGCATGTTCCAAAATGCAGACATCTGCAGAAAAAGTGTTTTTGGGCTAAAAAAATTCTGACTTATTCCAGGAAGGTAAAGGAAGCTGAGACATAGATGTTTTGTGTAAAATATCTTCCTAAAACTGTCCTACTGTGAAGCTTTTGTGAGCTCATCACTTTTGCTGAAGTGTCTCCTTAGATAATACCACCTGGTTGGGATACTTTGAAAACTTGGGAGTTGCTAGGCTTTATTGCTAGAGGATTTGGTGCCTTAAAACACAGTGACACCATGTGGCCAATCGCTTAGGATGGCAACATCGTGCTAATGGAAAGGGCAGTGTACAATTTTCTCATTTTTCTTTGGCTTTATTGAATTGGTCTTAAGCGTGCTTGAAACTATATTAGCTAGCGAGAGTAAACTAGGTTAGAATTTTCATCTGAACAGGTAAACAAAGCCAAAGCAAATGACCATTTCAGATTTTGTATGTTCAAAAGTCCAAAGTTTGCAAAATTGTCCAGGAAAACCTACCTGTAAATTCAGCAAGTAAATACCCATAAGAACATTTTGCATGTATGTCAAAACATCATATTCACTTGGCAGATGCAAGCAACTTTGACTCAAAATGCAAGATGCAAGAACTATGATTCAACATTCCCAAAAAAGCACATCTGGAAGCTGCATTTAAATATATATGGGTTAATTCTACAGTTGTAACATAAAAACTTGCAATTAATTTTGAAGATGGGGATATATTTGCCTTGCTCTCATGGCTTGTTTTTCTTCCAAATAGATGCAGATTCCCCCACTAATTTTTACAGATATTTCTGCGCTAAGTATTTAAAGCCACAAGTGGGAATAGTGCTGCTAGGAATGTTCTCAGTAGCTTTGTTATCGCTCTGCATTATATAATATGGTGACTGATGTGATGAATCATCTCTCCCTAGCACAGTCCTTTTTTCCAAATGAGGTGCTGCACATTGGAAAGGTTCAGCTCATGACAAATGGTAAGAATGGGCAGACCTCTTTGAAACAGACAACAAGGCAGGCAAAAAGGCTGATGAAAACAGAATATTCCTCAAACAGAAAGAAAATCATATATTAATTGGCTCTTCACCGGGACTATATTCACTCAGTAGTACTATCAAAAAATTAATGTTCATTAAGAAATGTGTATTTTGAGGCAGCATTCAGAACACCTTGCTTTCAAGAGGAGAAAGGAAGTGAAAATACAACAGTATGACTGCCAGTTGCACAAGCTTTGCAAAGTCAGTGTGCCATCAATGTTGCCATTTTTATTGGTTAGTTAGATAACATGCTGGTATCATTTTTTCTGTTCTGTATTGAACTCAACTCCTATTATGAAATTTATGTCAATATTATCACAGTGCATGTGAATGTAAATGAAATAGGTTAGTTTGAAAGGTGATCTAAAAGGCTTTTCACCTACATATATAATAGTTTCACCCATATACATAGCAGTTAGAGCTTAGGAAGTCCAGCTAATTAGATACAGGACTTTCTGACTGTTCAAAACAGGAGTTTGAGTTGAGGAAGATTATTGACCTGACCCTTCAAATTTTGTCACCCTGACTAGTGAGATCATGCTGCCATCTTGTGACCTGTAAATTTTACTTAGCTACAAGTGACAGAATTTTTTCCCTGGACTGGGAGGACAGTGTACATGATCTCCCTGGTATAGAGGTGCAGTAATGATGCTTTGAGCAGCTGAACCCTCTTTTATATTCCAACCCACACTGTCTCTCCTTAGCTTTCTTATCTGTCTCTCATGGGCTGCACCCTTCAATGTCAACATGTTTGCTAAAGGAAATGCTGTCCATGGACAGGCCTGAGAAGAAAGTAGAGGCAACCCTGCAGAGAGGATGAAACCCACAGTTTAAAGGACTAGGGCTTTGTAATAAAGGCTACAGAATATCCTCCCACTGCCATGAGAATCATATGTTCTGGAAAGCAAAACACACACTTAGCCAGCAGTTGAAATTCAGTATACAGTGGAAAAGAAAAGAAAGGGAAAAAAAAAGACATATTGGTTACAGAACATATTAGTTACAGCTGGGAAGCATTTTTATAAATTATTACATAGTTTTATACATTGAGGATGAAATTTTCCTCTCCATCTTCTCAAGTGTAAAGCTTGTGTATTTATGGTAACGTTTTTCTTGCTTGAAGAAAAAACAGTGTTACAATTCACTGTATTCTAAATCTAAATAGGGTTGTTCCATCTGGTCACATTAAATAAAATAGCTGTATGTCCATGGTTATGCTGTTCCCGGAAAAATACAGAGTTCAGCTGCTCAGTGACTGCTTACATAGCATTTTGAAATACCTGGAAAAAGGTTCATGTGACTGCAATCACATCGAAAAGCAAGTTGGGATCCTGTCTCTGCCCCATTCTTTCCTTATGCCCCAACCACATGTGCTTCCATCAGTGTGTTCTCCCATAGCACTTTCCAGCTGAAGACACAGAATCAAATCTTGAAGTAATACTGGCAATACAAAATGCATGGCAAGGCAGGAGCAGGCACATCCCAGGAACAAGCAGGCTTGAGGGCTCTGAGCCAACAAGGCAGTTGCTTTGAGCTCAGATACATGGTTTGGGAGAGCCCACAGACTGCATGTATAGCATGCAAGGTTCCCTCAACACCACTCCCTGGAGACAAACCATCAGTCTTTCCTCACTACCAAAGCCTCAACCAACATTATACACCCAAATCATAACTTCCTTTCAAATCCTTGTTTGCCAAAGTAAACCAAAGCATCCTGCACTTAGTTTCTGATCGATTTCCAGGACATACTGTATTTTCTTCAGGATATGGCATAGCAGAATAAGAGCTCACAACTAGCCACTGAAGGTTATGTTTACCCATAGAGTAAACCATGATTCTAGAATATGGAAAGAGGAAAAATTAATCTCTACACTCACCCAGCATCCATTTCTGCAAGATGTTGATCACTTTGGCACCAATCTAATATTTGTAGATGTGCAAATTCCCACCGATAAAAATTGGAAGTCCTTCAGGATATGTGCCATTTTTTCTCATAGTAATCTCTTGGTCAAAAATCCTGGAGACAGTGTTCAGGACTCCACCTAGTGAGCTGAAACAAGAAGTCTTTAGAGCAGACAGATATTGCTAAAGAGACCTTTTCTTTCCTCTGACAGTGGTAGAATACCAACTTAAGGCAGCAGAAGGTATTCTGTTGTCAGAAAACCTTTATGAATCCAGACTATGTTCAGGGATTGCTGATAGTTTTTAGCACTATGGAAATAAGTCAAGGATACATTGGAAATCCATAGCTGGCAAGCACATTCCCTTTCTGTGGATGCTAGCTCTGAAACAGAGAGCCTGTAGAAATTACAGGCCACATAGCTTTCTCAGTCCAGCCTGAGAAAGTAGCCTGGGAATTCATAAAATCCTCAAAGACAGAAAACAGCCTTGCAGGTGCTGTTTGTCTGTCCCTTGTTTTCTTTGCAGGAGAAGGTCGAGGGGTGTGTGCCCCACTGACCAATGATGGTGATGTAGTAGTTTGCTAACCAATAAGTTTCCTTTCTATACTTTCCACGTATCGGTCTATTAAACAGATCTGAAGTAATAAACTACAAGAAATTCTCCTCATCAACTCCATGAGAGTCTGTGTCGTCTCTTCCGAGCCGTTCCTAATAGAGTGACACCTTTCTCTTTTGCAAACTTCATCCACATACAGAAATGGACAGCCACACATTAATGAAAGAGGTAGTATTTCCTTGTCACGTCAGCATTTGCATCTTCATATTCCTAAAGCCCAATTCCAGACATACAGATCTTTTATTTTTAGATAAAATCCACTTCTGCAACAAGAGTTTGTGCTGGGCCTGCCATGTCTTCTTCATTTCACAAGGAGGGCTTAAGAGCAAGCCTGAAGCATTGAGCAAGCCCTTCTGCCCTGAAGCAAATATAATCTTTAAATCTTTCTATTGTATCATCTCCTCTGTTGCAGTAATATATCAGGCTCTTCCTTCTCTGATACAGTCTGCTCCCAGAATGGATTCAGGTTGCTGCAGCAGTCCAAACAGTCAGTGGATTAACAGAGGAGTTAAGTCCATATCAGTGCTAAGTGAAGTATGTTGTAGCTTGAGATCTGATAATTAATAAATTTCCTTTCAACATACTTCATCACAATGATCACCTGTATTACAAGAGATACAGAACTTATTTTGCAAAGTTTGTCAAAAATAAGAACTCGGCATAAAGCTGGCATTCTTATAAAGAGAGACATGAAGAAAGAAAGAAAAGCAGAATTCAGGAAACCTAATGGAGGAAAACAAACTAAAATAGGAGGAGAATAATACAAAGGACCAAGAAGAGATAAATGGCAGAATCTCAGACCTCTGTTGCCTGGGGGCAAATGCAGAAAAGAATTTTGGTTTGGTCTGTGGCTCTTGCCTGGAAGTGGAAGTAGGTACATGCTGTGCCTATTGTTTCTATGGCACCAGCAGAAAACAGAGCTGATGGTGCTGCAGAATTGCCAGCCAAGCAAACAGCATCATGACATCTAAGCTCATCAAAGCATCTCTTGTTTCAGAGAAACATTTTTTAGATGATTATCGGCTTTTCAGAAAACAGAGCTTTTTTTCCTTCTGTTTTTTGGCTGAGAAGTCTGCTTGGAGGCACACAGCCCCATACTATCACTTTCAGAGCCTTGAAAATATTGAAAACATCCTTAAATATGCTTTCAGTGTTTACACCTCTGCAATGAAAAACCAAAATCCATGAAGAAAAATCTTGCAAAGATAAAAGTATTCCTGACTGTCTCCACATGGAATCTCACACTGAAGAACTGCATAGGGTTCTGCAGCAAGGAGAAACCATCCTTACCATCCACACACACACTCATCTGCTCCCAGAAGAACTGTATTTCACATTCTAGGTAATATTCTATCTAGAATCTCCTTGACTCTGGGATCTGTACATGTGGTGACCCTCAAAAAAATCACTTTCTATTTTTCAGGGGTAGCAGGAGGCTCTGTCCTCCAGGAACACCACCTCACAAGGAGAATTCTGCACTGTTCTACAGACAGAATAGCAGGAAAGCAGCTGAGACACGCACAGGCACTGCTCAAGTCACAACTGTATGTACAGTGATTTATTTACCCTGAACAGCTTGCTCAGAGGTCACAAAAGAAATGTGTTTTACTATGTGAGTGCTACATGAAATTAACCTGTTGCCAAACCTGGCTAAGAGCTGGAAGAGCTGCAGAGTATACACAGGCTTTAAGAGACTAACCTCTGGATTCCTTCCAGAGCCCAGGAAATTGCATTTCTTTGAGGTCTAGACTGATGTTCATGGATAATGTAAAATTACGTTGTTCTGCAGAGAGAAGAAATGCAAAGCTGAAGCACTGGAAAGCCAAATAGCCTTATGTGGAGAACTGAGAGGAATGAAGAAGGATAACAGGAGTATTAAAAAATTATATTCTCCTCTCAACCCAGCTGAAGGAAGAACTTGCACAGGCAAAGTACTGGGAGCAAATTACTAAAAAAGTCAAATGTTCTTAAAAGTTCAAGCTATCTTTCTTAAATCTGTGATTTGAAAGGTAGAGGAGTATTACCTGCCTCAGCCTATCATCATCCTCTGTGTGGCATCTGTTACAAGGCTAATAAGGCAGATAGACATGATAAAAATACCAGAAAGCAAGTGGAACAAGCAGCAAATGAAGCAGAGAGAGAAGACAGCTCTGGACTGAGTATGACTGAACTCTCACTGCATGGTAACTATTAGGCAGTAGAACCTTTCAGGTTCAAAGCTTTCTCTCAGGCCTCAGAAGAGGAAAGAGCCACATAAGATTAATGGGCTTGGCTTTTTCCAAGCAGTTCTTTTGTTAGTGGACAGTGTTTTTTAGGCTATACAGAGCACACCTCAATAGCCAGAGACAACTGGGGGAAAAAAGGGAGAAAAGTTGTGCTTATCTCCAGTCTTCCTCCCCTCTTCTTTTGGGCATAGTATGAATCAAGGGAAACACAGATCTAAGCCATATATCCTAAGGAAGCTAAATTTCCAAGCGACTCACTTTGCTTTATATTGTGTGAAAGGTAACTCTTGGTAAAATAAAGCTCTCATCTCTTGAAAAAATAACAAGATTGCAAAAGCTATTGGTCTAATGTGGAATAAAATACAAGCCTTTTTCCTGAACCCATCATAAGCACTAATGTACCAACGAACAACAACCTGTTGATCAAAACACAAATCTTGGAAATGGGAGAACCTTATCAGCCAAAGCCAAGGCATGAGTTTTAGCCTTCTAAGTCCCATGGAGAACCCCAGCTTTTAGGTTAATGTCTATTTCAAGAAAACTTTTACCACCAGTCCTTAAGAGGATAAAACAGTTACACAACTAAATGCTAATCTTTTCCTCAGTGGGAGAAAACCTATTTTTTGTAATACCTTTCTTACCTCAGGACTCTCTAGCAACTGGAGAAAAAAAAACAACCTTATTTTCAAGTCTGATGAGTGACTGAAAAATCTGAATGGAATCAATAAGAGATAAAGTAAATAAAATTTGTTCCTCTGTTTCTACATTGACCTCAAAGTAAGAGAATTTGAGAAAATTTCTTTAACCCGTCACTAGAGCTTCAGTAATGGAAAGCAGTTATTCCCTCTTCATAAAAGCATTCATTCTCAATGTCCCAAGACAATAGGTGTACTAATAGTAAATGATAGCGAAACCTCTTACTTCAGAAAGCAAACAAAACACAGGTTTCAGTGACTGGTTTGTAAGTAGATCCTGTGCCCTGTGTTAGCTGGTGATGCCATCACACGTTGTCTGACAGAGAAAAGTGGATTCACCCTGTGGCTGATAAGGGGCACTGCACTGACCCCTGGAATCCTGGAGCAGGCAGGGCTCACCATACTCTCACCTCTGGCACTGCACAGTGAAACCAGCTGGTTTGTGGACTGAGCCTTGGTGTTTTCACTTGCATATGTCTGACTTCTGTCAGAAGGAGATTTCTGCTGGGGAACCTACATTCTACAGAAAAAACAAAACAAAACAAAAACACAAACAAAAAACCAGCCCAAGTTATTACAAAACAGATTTTTAAAATCATCTCTCTACTTTGAAGTTACCCGTAATCTTTTTGTTCTCCTTTGCTTTACACTCTCCATTCCTCCCCTCCTTTCCAACAGACATTTATATATGCCCACACACTCACAGACTTTCTGAGGGGGAGAAATTTAAGAATTTCTACTCTTTGAATGCACACCTTTTCTTTCTTTGCTCTGTATGCACAATTTATGTACAATTTATACCTCTATTTTGGTTAATTTTTGATTTGTCTAGTCAGGTTACAATTTTGATTTTGGGTGCCCTGGAATTGGCATGGCCTGGTTTGTGGTCAGTGGGGCAGAAGCAAAACTACCAGAGAAAAAAAAGAATGCAACCATTATATCCTCAGGCAAGGGAAGACAGCCACGGAGAGAACAAGATTCCCTAGAAGGCTTGAAAGGGCAGAATTGCCCCTGCACCTTGCAGATCAAAATGAAGCCTAGGAAGTCTCAGCTTTACAGGGAGTGGTATACAGACTGCCTGGAAGCAGTTTAGTGATTCCATGTGAGATTGCCACCAAAAAGTACAGACCACTGACCTCCTTTTCTTCCACTACATCAGTAGTCGTTAGGTATCAAAGTAGTTTTCCTGCATCAAGATGACATATCTCTGATCTGAAATAACCCAGAGATAGGAGAATGGCTGGAGTCAGAGCACTGTGCAGCCAATAATAATCCATTTTGAGTTAGTGCTGGACGCTTGAGAATGTCAGAGTGACACTGTTCTGGGACAGACTCCTGTAGATGTCACAGGATTATTGATTCAGAACTACCTTGCTGAATTCATAGCATATTAAAATGATAGCAGTGCATTTGAACTTCCTCTTCTAGTCAAAAGCAGAGATATGCACATGCTCTCTTCCTATCCAGGACATTTCCTTTGAACCATCTATCCAGCTCATCTCTTCTCTGACATCCATATTTCACAATTTACTCTCCACTGTCAAATACTTCTTCAGGACCAGATCCACTGTAAAAAGGGGCAGCACACAATGGTGTGTGCTTCTCACTTCACTGGATACAGAAATGGATTCACAGTTTAGAATCAGCTGGACTAGTTATTACAAGCATAACTAAAAACTATACCAGTTTCTTATTTATCTTGGCATGGTATCTCTCACCCCTGCTTCTCCTGCTAACCCCCATGCATGTTCCTGCTGTTTCCTTCTTTTATCCAGAAGAACACTTTAATCTTTTTTTTCGCTCTGGGTTTTTTTTTTTTCCCACAGGATTACCTCTTAGATCACTAACCAGAAAAAAAGTCATGACTGTCCCTCTGTGCAGCAAAGTACTCTTAAAAGAGTTAAAAAGACCATAAAACCGTACCTTTTACTGAAGTGATTTTAATGTAAACATAAATTCCCAGTCTAAATGCAAAATGTTGAAAGTTCAGCAGCTTAAGTAATTGAAAAGATACAATCCTAAATAAATAGAATGTAACTAATTTAATTATTTTTCTCTAAGTGCTATCCAGAGTCAGAGTACAGACATTTTTAGGTTGAATGCAAATTTTCCACAGACAATTTTATAAGACTCAGCATTTCTAATTTCTGTCCTCAACAATGAAAAATATTTTCCAGTAAATGCTGCAAGGAGTACTATTTCATTGGAAATATTAATTCTGCAGAGACAGCCACTTTATCAAAGATGTTTCACCTCTTCTGCACCTGTGGTTCACTTTTTGCTAATAAAGGCATTTCGACTACGTTGATTCTGCAGTTTCCTCCAAGTTATAGTGTATGTGTATCAAAATGCTTCAGGGTCAGTTTTCAGTGAAAAGATGGAAAATCTTAAGAATGTATTGGGCAAACCAGCACTTTCCATTGTTGCTTGATTCCATGGTAGCTAGGGAAATCATCCTCCCCTAAAAAAGCATTGCAAGACATACTGTTCCCTTTTAGTAAACTTGTTCATACCAGCTTACATGAGGGGAGACTCTCAGTTCTTAAGAGGCTTGTCACAAGCTTTTCTTATTCTCAAAATAGAAATGTAATGCAAAGTGCTAAACAGTGGGTGACTAAGAATCAACACAAGATCTTTCAGTTCAAGCAAGTCCTTTGATACTCTATTTTATCTGAAGCACTTTGCAATTACAAGCAGATCTCAAGAACAGATTTTCCCATTCAGTTTCTATTAGATTTATCAGTTGTGCTTGGCAGAGGATCTCTTGCAGCTAAAGGTCTATTATATTTAATTAAATAACTTTCACATTGTTCTTGAATAATGTTGTCTGTATTCAGCAGGTCTGGGGAGACTATATAAAGCACTCTGACTCAACAGTCTGCAATTAGTAGAATATTGCCTTGAAAAAAACTCTTGATCTTAGCCCTACTGGTCTAAATCATCTCTTCAGCAGAAGAAACATTAGGTAGTTAAAGTCTTCAGCAAAATACCGTATAACATGCTTAAGAACAGGCAGAAGTGTTTTACTGAAATCCAGCCATTTCCAGTTATTTTATATTAGTCTGACACCAGTTTCCAGTTTCTATTTCCTGAAGATAATTTTCAAATTTGAGTTTAATTTAAAAAGTATTCCCAGTGCAACTGAGTTGCCTTGAATATTCTCCTGTATGTGGCACACAGTGGCTCAGCTAATCAGTTTTTTCAGTCTTTCTCACAAGATGGCATCCAAGTGATGAAGGGCTTTTAAGTGGGTAGCAAAGCTTCTTTTTCCAGAGCAACAAAAGCAAGAGGTCCTATGTGCTGCTGTCATCAATAGAGTCACCAGTCAGCTCCCTTCATCCTCTATTTTCAACTGTTTTCTGTGAACCTGACTACTGAATGTGACAACGTGACAACATAATAACCGGATGAAAGCATGACTGACCACAGTGTTGATTTACTGATAGAAAGTATTTTTATTTGTAATGGTAATTTCCTATAGATAATGTATTTTCTGTGAAGGTCACAATTTTATAATTCGAAGGATAGATCTGTCAACTACCCATTGAAGGCTGGGAGAGCTGTTTCCCCTCAGAAGGGATTAAAATGGATGTGAGCTATCCCACAGACTGGAAAACAACAACACATTGTTTTCTATAAACCTCAATGTTCAGTAAAAATAAAAGAACAGAATACTCATACCACAGAGAAACTCGCAGCCTAGGGCCCTGAAGCAGAGGAAAATGAGGATCAACAGCCCAGGGATTTTTGATTGCTTCAATAAAACAGAAAAATGAGGGGGAAAAAATGTCTCTTACTCAGATGGAACTGCTCAAATGTGTTTGACTTTCCTTGCTGTTACGTGTTACTCTGCTGCCAGGTCTTACCCACTCACTAAACATCTGGAACAACCACAGTCCATGCAGGACATAGGCATACAAGGAACAAACAGAAATCAAGTAAGAGGCAACAGCATAAAACTTGATGGATAACCAGTATGGGTGAGCAGGAGAGAGATATCCCCCACTCTAACTACTCACACCTTCAGCTACGTGGTACCCATCTACCAATCTGAGGAACAGGGGGTTCAGGAAAACCAGGAGTACTTGAAGAACAGTCTGTGTTGAATATATTGTGTGAGAGAGTCCCCAGCCCTCTGAGGCCCAATGTGCTCATTTTGAGTAACCATTGCTCCCTGAAGTAAGAAAACCAAGGGCATGTCTCCTCCCTCAGCTCCTACAGGGCTTTTGTCTCAGCAGGAACTGGAAACCAGGGACTACACTGTCAAAGGGAAGATTTTTCTATTTTAGTGCAATGCAGAGACTTCCAGCTCCTGCTTGCTTCTTTGGTCAGGGTGTGACTCTTGACTGCCCCAGGAGGGAGAATTTGGTTCACTGGTGCCATTTGATATCTAGCTGCTGTTTGCCACTATCCCACAAAAGCACAAGGTAGATTATAGCCCCCCTTGTCAGGTTTGGACACTGGTAAAGGGTAAGAAAATGCACATTCTTCCCAAGTGAGGTCAGTCCTCTCTTGAAGAGTGGCATTTGTTAGCTGTCACTGAGTCCACAGCTGTCTGATGCAGTGGCAGGATCACTGAGGCAGCCCACCTCACTGGGCTCCTGGGAACTCAGCAGCAGTGGCTTTACTGTTCCCCCCCCAGAATGGAGACAAACTAACTTTCACCAGATGAGAGCAAGTACTTGGCATATCTGTATCACCCCCATCTTGAACACTCTGCAAAAACATAGACTCTATCACTTCTCTTCCCAACAGGAGGTGAGGACTTCTGCTCATGACCTCTTCAAGCAGGTGAAGTAACAGCTTGTGGCTACACCAGGATTGTTCCTTAATGCATTATCTGCAGGTGCACAGATAGTTGAAGGCTTCATTCATACAATCTCAAGCAAACTGTGCACACACAGATACATTGAGTATCTGTGTGTACACACTGAGTAGTGCAGTGAAAACTTTACCCTAATATGGAATTTATATGGAGTCAGCAGGAGATACAACCAGGGTTACCTGGGTAAGACTCACTTCTGGATTTTGAGGTACCACGAAAAAAAATGTTATCACTGCACTTCAGATTAAGCCAGAAGAGTGTGTCTTCCCTTAGCTGAGATAAGAACTGCTCAACCTTTTTACTACAAAATGTGAGAGAACAATATACCAGAAGGAAAGATGAATGTACTAATGTGTTGCCCAACAAAAGTGCTATTTATATCTAGGTTAGTTGAAGGTGCAAGACTAAACCATCCAATGGAAAACTCCTCCTGTGAGAGTATTTCCTATTATGAAAGGAGATGGTTGCAGATTGAGGGCAAAGATAGCTCAGGACAAATGCAATTTAGATAATGGGATGCTGGGTTGTTTTTAGACTACAGCATAGAGACAGACCAGATGGTGCCAATCTACTGTGAAGCTGGGGCCAGAAGCCAACTGAAATTCAACTAAAAAATGGAAAATTATTTGAGGAATGAAAATAAACAACTATGCAACAGTGGGGTTTAGAAGAAGGCAGTCCAGGAAACTTCTGGTGAGTTTCCAAGATCTAGTGAGTGTTGAAATATCATCCCTGCACATCTATGACTATTCCACTACAGCTTGCTCTTAGGGATATCTGAGTCCATCAAATGTCGCCAGAAAAAGGCCTGTATCCTGCGCCATGCATCTTCTTGGGCTTTAGCATGCTCTCTCCACTGCCCTCCCCAATGCACCAACATCCCAAGCACCCTGTGGATCGAAACTTTACACAGGGGCAAGTACGGTGGCTCCAAGAGGTGCCCTGCTCCAGAATAGGAGTAAAACTCCACTTCCTGGCCGTGCTGCTGCAGACGCTGAACAGCATCCTGGCAATAGAGGTCACTTTTCCAGTTCATGTCATCCAGTCCAGACAGGAAGAGGAACTTGGCTAAGGACCTCTCCACAGGAATGCGACAATCCCAAGTTGCTGGGTCCGTGTGATCATCTAAGACATCTGAAAAATCTACTAGTCCAGACTCATCACTGATCTTCATCCTCCCCAAGTCATACGGGTGGACAGGAAGAGTGAAGCCATCCCCCTTCAAGGGAACGAAGGAATTAAAACTACTTCCAGATATGCTGACAGCTGCCTTGATGCCAGGTAGAAATGTGGCCATTGAAAGAGCTAGATCACCTCCTTTAGACAAGCCCAAAACACCAATCCCAGTATCTTTCACCTGAAACAGAATTATAAAAATAGTATTATTAACTACTCTTTATTTCCTGAGCTGACATAACCTCTCCAGTTCTGCTTTCTCACTCATCCAACTAAGACCACTCATATTTTGCCCTTTCCCTATTTCTGTTCAGGTTATATTACTCCCTCATCTATCCTTCTGCTGAGCCTCCAAAAGAGTGACTATGAATTCTACAGCTCCTCAACATTTCTCTTCCTGTAACAGATTTGCCTCCTGGTGACCTGTATAGACCAAGCACCCTTGCTCTTGCCACATCCCAGCTCAGCCTGCTGTCAGTATGGTGTCTTTTATTGCTCCTCTCTCCAAGCCACTTTTTCCTGGGTTTACTTGCACTGAATTTCTTCATTGCAGCTTCTTCTATACTCTCCTACAACTGACCTGTTATCTTCTGGTTTGTCTTGGAAGACATAATGTTCATTACACTTGAGGCTAAGTGAGCCCAAGAGCTGTTTAAAACAACTTATTTCTAGTGAAGGTCCTTCACAATGAATTCTAAATGTTTCAGAGCTCTCTGAGGAACAAGACAAACAAGCAAGGCTGAATTCTGCTCTCACACTGCCTACAATCCCAGTGTCCATGTGATAGAAAGTAAATAACTTTGCAAAACAAATACATATTAAGTAGCATCACATTAAAATTTTAAATGCTACTTGATTTCTCTTGGTCACTATTGTGTTAAGTATGATGATACATTCCCATAAAGTGTCTTGTTCCAAACTACACT